GCTAGGTGGCATAAGGCGGTCGAAAGACGGCCAGATCAATTCCACAGCCTTGGAGACCCTCGCGCACCGCTGATTTAGGGACCGTCAACGAATTATTGTCAGAATAATGAAATACTGACAGGACACAGTGAAATGTACTCATTTTTAACACTTTATTGTATTTTAAATGATCATTTTAAAAGGAAAAAGTGGGTAAATATATTTCTTTAAATAGCTTCTAGGTAATGGGAGCTTATGACGCCCAAATGGGTGCAAGTTTTGCTACTACATGAGCACTATAGGACACAGCAACTTTCATTCGATTTTTACCCTCTGTTTAATTGATATGATTTTTTTTCTCTAATATTGGGCCTTTTTTAAATATATATAGTTCCTAGGCCATAGGGGCCTGCGTCCCAAAACCTAGTACCAATTGTAGTGCAGTGCAATGCAATGTTTGAATTTTTTGCTCACAACTAGTCCTGGGACAAAAAATTGAAATCAGGACCGTAGCGCCCACAAATTGCCTACTTCAGACCCAGGTACTGTAAGCTGTTGGAGACGCTCCTTATTATTCTGATGTGTATTGGCACCAGGTTTTGGGTTGCAGGCTCCTACATCCTAGAAGCAATTGGGGAAAAAAAGGCCTAATTTTAGAGAAAAATAATATCAAGTAAACAAAGGGTTAAAATTGAAAGTTGCTGTGTCCTATAGGCCTCGTAGTACTACAATCGGTACTAGGTTTTGGGTCGCAGGCTCTCACGGCCTAGGAACTACTGGGGGAAAAAAGGCCTAATTTTAGAGAAAAAAATCATATCAATTAAACAAAGGGTTAAAATCGAATGAAAGTTGCTGTGTCCTATAGTGCTCATGTAGTAGCATAACTTGCACCCATTTGGGCGTCATAAGCTCCCATTACCTAGAAGATATTGAAAGAAATATATTTACCCACTTTTTCCTTTTAAAATGATCATTTAAAATACAATAAAGTGTTAAAAATGAGTACAATTCACTGTGTCCTGTGTATGTCAGGTAGTTGCAAAATATGCACCCATTTTGGAGTTACTGGATCCCATTGCATTGAAGTTGCTGCAAGCAATCAGTATTTTATTATTTTGACAGTAATTCGTTGACGGTCCCTAAATCAGCGGTGCGCGATTGTCTCTGAGGCTGTGGAATTGATCTGGACTTCATATACCAGCTAGCGTGAGTGAAACACCGCCGCTAAGTCTAGAGAGTGTGGATCTGAATAACCGTCGAATATCCAACCTAAAACTGATTACACCTTGGTTGCGAGATTAGAGCGCCATTTGATTGGGGAGCGCAAAGAGCAAGCACCCAGAGCCGGCGCTGCTATGTACTAATATTCTCGATGTGACTATAAAAAAGACACATCTTCACCTGTTTTGGGGCACAAATTACAAAAAAACATTACAGGCATTATCTTATTGACCCTAGTCAGCTTCCGTCTTATAGGAAGAGGGGGAAATGAGAAGCAGAAGTTTTAGTTGAACATTATAGGGTGTAAGAAACTTCAGGTTCTAGTCTCATATAGGCTATTTGTTCAACGTATTTTCCCTGATTAGCATAAAGAAACTTGACAATCTAGCAAAGCAGTAGAGCGCTGCAGGAGTATCTATTTTAATTAGTACCCAGTTGTTGATTGAGGATTTTGATGTGTTGCCCATTTTATGTACTTGCCAAATTTGTTTCTGACCATGTGGCATCTCTACAAAAGGCTGCTGATGTTATTGTAATGTTTAAGCAGCCTTGCTCACTTCATATACACAGGGACATCCGGTTCATAGAGGTGATGGAGACTGTCTGTCAAAGACTCATGGAGTACAATCTGCACAAGGAGAGGGAAGGCAGCAACCGCTTTGCCAAGGTGAGGGTGCTGAAAACACCTGGTCCACAAGCTCAGAAGAGTAAAATATTGGAGTCACTCTTGTTTCTGAGCCTCAGCATACCCTGTAAAATCAACTCAACCTTATTTCTGCCACAAGGGAACTTTGAGTTTTTTTGAGCTTTATGCTGAATTGTTTTTTCCCCAGGAAGAATTTTGGTTTTTGTAATATTTCAGGACCACTTATCCATTTTATTTGCATTTTTCACCCTGTTGATCTTTTCCCCTTCCCCCTTAGGGCATGTCTGAGACCTTCTCCACACTGCATAACTTGGTCCACAAGGGCGTGAAAGTAGTGATGGATATCCCGTATGAGTTGTGGAACGAGACATCTGCAGAGGTGGCAGATCTGAAGAAGCAGGTGACCTTATAGGGACTTATGGGATTTTCATCAGCAATTTAGATATATGCAGTATCTTGTAATGGGGGTGGGGCTCAATGGCAAGCGCCTGGTGGCCAGGCCTATACCCATGGGGCCTGGTCAGGCACAGCCCGAACAAGGCATGTGGGTCCCCCCTCCAATGGGCTTACCACCTATAGCAGGGGCCATAGGGGTCGGGTGCGAAGTGAGCTGGGCAGTGGTCGAAGGTGGGGACCTTTGTGGTCCAATCCTCGGCTGCAGAAGCTAGCTCTTGGGACATGGAATGTCACCTCTTTGATGGGGAAGGAGCCTGAGCTGGTGTGCGAGGTTGTGAAGTTCCGGCTAGACATAGTCGGGCTCACCTTGACGCATGGCCTGGGCTCTGGAACCAGTCTCCTTGAAGGTGGTTGGACCCTATTCCACTCTGGAATTGCTCACGGGGAGAGGCGCCAAGCAGGGGTGGGCATACTTATTGCCCCCTGGCTGGGCGCCTGTACATTGGGGTTTACCGCAGTGGACGAGAGGGTAGCCTCCCTTCGCCTTCGGGTGGGGGGACGGGTCCTGACTGTTGTTTGCGCTTATGCGGCAGTTCAGGATTCCCACCCTTTTTAGAGTCCCTGGAGGGGGTGTTGGAGTACTCCTCCTGGGAACTCTCTTGTTCTACTGGGGGACTTCAATGCTCACGTGGGCAATGACAGTGAGACCTGGAGTGGTGTGATTAGAAGGAATGGCCCCCCCAATCTGAACCCCAGTGGTGTTTTGTTGTTGGACTTCTGTGCTCGTCACAGATTCTCCATAATGAGCACCATGTACCTGGCACCAGGACACCTTAGACCGCAGTTCGATGATCAACTTTGTAGTTGTGTCATCGGACTTGCGGCCGCATGTCTTGGACACTCGGATGAAGAGAGGGGCGGAGCTGTCAACTGATCACTGCCTGGTGGTGGGTTGGCTCTGCTGGTGGGGGAGGAAGCCGGCCAGGCCTGGCAGGCCCAAGCGTATAGTGAGGGTCTGCTGGGAACGTCTGGTGGAATCCCCTGTCAGGGGGAGTTTCAACTCCTACCTCCAGGAGAACTTCTCCCATGTCCCGGGGGAGGCGGGGGACATTGAGTCCGAATAGGCCATGTTCCACGCCGCCATTGTGGAGGCAGCTGACCAGAGCTGTGGTCGGTGCCTGTTGCAGCAGCAATCCCCGAACCCGCTGGTGGACACCAGTGGTGAGGGATGCCGTCAAGCTGAAGAAGGAGTCCTATCAGGTTTTTTTAGCCTGTGGGACTCTAGAGGCAGCCGACAGGTACCGGCAGGCCAAGCGGGGTGCGGCTTTGGCGGTCGCTGAGGAAAAAACTCGGGTATGCGAGGAGTTTGGCGAGGCCATGGAAAACGACTTCTGGACGGCTTCGAATCGATTCTGGTCCACCATCCGGCAGCTCCGGGCAGGAAAGCAGTTGCACATCAACACTGTTTATGGTGGGGATGGGGTGCTGCTGACCTCAACTCGGGACATTTTGGGTCAGTGGAGGGAGTACTTCGAAGACCTCCTCAATCCCACCGACACGCCTTCCGATATGGAAGCAGAATATGGGAACTTGGATGTGGACGCCCCTATCTTTGGAGCGGAGGTCGCTGCGGTGGTTAAAAAGCTCCTCAGTGGCCGAGCTCCGGGGGTGGATGAGATCCGTAGAATGCTCTCTCCGGGTCTGGGATGGGGTCCTCCCCCAAGTGGAGGAGTTTAAGTATCTCGGGGTCTTGTTCACGAGTGGGGGGACGATGGAACTGGAGATCGACAGGCGGATCGGTGCGGTGTCCGCAGTGATGCGGGCACTGCATCGGTCTGTCATGGTAAAGAAGGAGCTGAGCCAAAAGGCAAAGCTCTTGATTTACCAGTCGATCTACGTTCCTACCCTCACCTATGGTCACGAGCTGTGGGTAGTGACCGAAAGAACGAGATCGCGAGTGCAAGTGGCCAAAATGAGTTTCCTCCGCAGGGTGGCTGGGCTCTCGCTTAGAGATAGGGTGAGGAGCTCGGTCATTCGGGAGGGACTCAGAGTAGAGCCGCTGCTCTTCCGCATCGAGAGGAGCCAGATGAGGTGGCTCAGGCGTCTGGTCAGGATGCCTCCTGGACGCCTCCCTGGTGAGGAGTTCCGGGCATGTCCCACTGGGAGGAGGCCCCGGGGAAGACCCAGGACATGCTGGAGGGACTATGTCTCTCAGCTGGCCTGGGATCGCCTCAGGATTCCCCCATAGGAGCTGGATGAAGTGGCTGGGGAGAGGGAAGTTTGGGGTTCCCTGCTGAAACTGCTGCTCCCGCGACCCAACCTCGGATAAGCGGGAGATAATTGATGGATGGATGTTTCTGGATACAGTGGTGCCTGCGGTTCACAAACACAATCCGTTCCAGGAAAATGGTCGGGAACCAATTTATACGCAAACCAAGGCAATTTTTTCCCATAAGAAAGCATTAAAATTCGATGAATTCGTTCACAAGCCTACCAAATAATTTTTGTTAATTACTTTTCTGTTTTTTATAGTAAAAACTTTAAAGAAAAACATGATATAGGGTGGCGTAGTGCAGAACAAGGCATTGCGGGAGCAGAGACATGGAGACTTGCTTGCCGGGGAAATCACACTTTATGTGTGCATCTTGCGGTTCAGCGTCTGACCACCTTGTGTTTCCCGTCTGTGTATTTGGGTTCAGTGCTCGTTGGTTGCCTGTTGTGATCCTTCTATTTACAATTGCACACGGGACATGCTGGGATATGCACACCTGTGCTAGACTAGTATTAAAAAAAGGAATCTGGTCGAGGAATCCGTTTGTCGACCAAATTTTGTACACAATGCATTTTTTTTCCACAAAATTTTTCATCACTAAGCAAATTGTTTGTAGATCACAGCGTTTGTGAACCGCAGGCACTACTGTGTTTAAATATGTTGGTGAAGATCAGGTAGGTTAGGGTGGCAAGCAGACTTTATATTGTGCTGTTTTGGACTTTGTCTGGAACTCTCTTTTTTTTTTTCCCCAGTGTGATGTAATGTTGGAGCAGTATGAGGAAGTCATTGAAGACTGGTACAAGGGTGATCAACTAGAAGACCTCACCACTTACCTGTGTGAGAAGCATGTTCTTAAGGGGCAGGACACAGGTATTGATCCCTCTCAATTTTTATTCCTCTCTCCTGGATTCCTGAAGTACAACTAGCATGACTCTTGAGCAGCCTGATTTTTTATTTATTTATTTATTTATTTATATCCTTTATTTAACCAGGAGAAGCCCATTGAGATTAAAAATCTCTTTTGCAAGGGATACCTGGCCAAGATAGGCAGCTAAATTACATCACAACAGTATGCCAGTACATACATACAAAAACAAAATAAATACAAATAAATAAAGAAAAAAACAATTCGAGGACCAATTTTTACAATGAAATCTCAGTTAAAACATTGACATGTGAGGGAATCCAACTCAAAACATCTCATTTTTGACTTAAAAACACTCAAAGGAATCAATTTACTAAGTTTTAAGTTGTTCTGCAGCAAATTCCATGTAAAGGGTGCACAATAAACCAGGCCATTTTATCCAGCTCAGTTCTAACATGTGGGACAGAAAGCAAAACAACAGCCTGAGAACGGAGAGAATAATGACCAGTAGTTTTTTTCAAAAGAAGTGAACATAAATAGGATGGAAGCACACCAAGAATAGCCTTGTATATAAAGGTGTACCAATGACAGAGCCTCCGTGTGGCTAAAGCAGACCATCCTACACGAGTCATCGATCATATGAAGACATTGAGCAGATGAATGCATATATAAAATATCACCATAGTCCAGCACAGATAAAAAAGTGGATGCCACCAGCCAGTTGAGGTACAGTCCAGTTGCAGTCATTCCTCTAGTACACTGAATCATTAGCTTCTGGTAGAATGCCATTTGTGAGTATATTTTAGCCGTATGGTGCAGACACACCAATATATACAATAAACTAGTTAAATTTGCAGATGACACCAAGGTGGGTGGTGTAGCAGATACTGAACTAGCGGCGCAGAGGCTACAGTGGGTTTTTGATTTAAGTCAAGGGAGGTGATGCTAAGATTATACAATTCATTGGTAAGACCCCACCTAGAATATTGTGTCTAGGTTTAGTTACTTTACTTTAAAAAAGACATTGTTGCCTTAAAAATGATTCAGCGTAGGGCAACAAGAATGATTCCTGGTCTTAGAGGAGTGTCTTATGAGGAGAGGTTAGCTGAGCTGAATCTGTTAAGCCTCAAGCAAAGGAGACTAAGGGGGGACATGATCCAGGTGTATATAAGATTTTAACAGGTCTGGATGCTGTTCAACAAAATAGCTACTTCAATATCAGTTCAAAAAATAGGTGGAAATAAGCAGGAGAACACTGTAAACTGGATTTGATGAGATTTTAACAGCTATGTGCTATTAACTGAGTTCTCCCCAAACAAGCTCTAAATGATCTTATGTTCTTTAAAGGGAGGGACTTTAGCTTGGGCAAAAGGAGCACGTGCTCAAGGACCCCCAAGCCCAGTCACGTCCTGCATTTTAGCTTGTTAGAAGCTGCCCATTGCTGTGTGTATGCTAAAAAGCATTATCAGGACTATAGCCGTATCTGTTTTGCATGCACAGGAAACAGTCATTGTTTCTATGAAAAGTGGAAAATATGTAAATGATTATGGATTTGTGAGACTTCACACTACAGGCTATGTAAATGCTTGGCAGTGGTTTTCCAGGTTAGATATAGCATGTCTGAGAGGTTTTAATATTCCATGGGCTGTTTTGTTTTAGCCTGCCTGAAGGAGAAATGGACTGGGAGAAGGAGAGAGACAGCAGGCATTGCTGATGAGAAGAAGAAAAAGAGAGAGAGCAGTGGCCAGGAGGAGCTGATAAAGAAGAAGGGGGGGAAGAAAAAGAAGAACAGCAAGCTTTCAGAGCAGGAGATGGGAGGAGAGAGCAAGGACAATGTGGAAGTCACTCCAGAGGAGGGTCTCCAGGGCAATGCACCCCTGCATGGGGAGAAGACTGAGTTGTGAGTGGGCTGGGAGAAGACTGCATGGCCCATGGATTGATTCATAAGCTTCCTATTAGGCGTATTCTCATGCAGCAGGGACACCTAGCTTAAGCCTCTGCAAGCTGAAGTACTGTGGGTTTTAAAGGACATTTTAGCTTGCACCTGATTGGCACTTCAAATGCCAGTTGAGACAGCTTGGTATTTGGATTGTTGACTCAAAAAAAATGACTTGAACTGAGCTTGAGCCAAATATGAATATATATCTTCATAGCCTTGATGACCAGAACTGAACACCCTTAGTTCTCCCCAGTTTCTGTTTGTTCTCTTTGAACAGTGGCCACAGTTGCTGAATCATCCCATTGTTCTCTATTCATTGCTTTTGCACTGTCCAAGCTCCAGATATCCTGTGTTGCTGTGTCTGTTCCCCATGCACATAATTAAGTCGTGGTTTTGACCTCCAAGGGATATGAGAGATGTTTTCCTTTCTAATAAGGGACTGGGTGCTAGCCTGGTCTGGCTCTACCCTCACCAGAGACATCTCACTGTCACCTGGAATAGAATCACTGTTTTGGCCCAAAGCTGTAGCTCTGTAGTTCCCTGGTAGGGAATGTGGGTCATCCCAGATAACCACAGAGGAACAGGACAACAGATGGCTGCAGTGCATATACGTCACGCCTTGGATTAGAGACTGAATCCACGTTACTCCTGTAAGAGATAACCGGTGCTAATAGGTGTGGAACTTCGTACGTGTATAGTTGCACTGGCATTGCCATAACAACAGAATGCCCTGACTTAACCAGTGCAACCTAGTCCAAATACATGCACCAGAAGTCTGCTGACAGTCTCTGTCTTTCATTGATATTTGATTAAATTAAATTATACTCCGGCTATGCAGGCATTCTTATGCTTTTAAAGTGGACGTATTATAAGCTGAACACACTCCCTATCCTATAAAAGAGATCCTATAAAAATTGTATGTTTCAAGTGTTTTGTATTTTGTCAACCTCTGAGAGATCTGGCTGCCTACCTTTGCCCTTCTTCCCTTCAGATATTTCCCTGTAAGTTACATACACACAGGCAAAAAGCCATAGGTCAGAGTAATGTAATGATGTCAGGATGGTGGAAGCAAAGGAACTTTCCATGGGCTCAGATGGTCTTTTCAGCCCAGTTTTCCCAGAATCCTTGGTGATACTTATTGCCAACTTGTCACATAACTCAGGGTACCTGCGGTCATGGAAAACCTGGATAAGTTTTGGAATTCTTGGATAGAGAGGAAAAGTTATGGAAAAGTTTTGGAAACTAGCCTTGTTCATTTGGAAGTCAATATAGTTGACTACCTTGGTAAACATCCGTTTCTGTGCCGATTTCGCGTATTTCAGATCGCTGCTTCTTTGCTTGTTATTCCAGTTTTTATGGTTTAATTTTTTTGCACGCATTTGAATTTTATTGATCAGTTTCCCGTTTTTGACTCCGTTTTCCTCTACCAATCATAAGGTACATATCATTTAAATATTGGGATTAATTTTCTTAATTGAACGCTATTTGCACATTGGTGAAAGTTGTCCACCGTCTGTGTTTATTTGGTAAGCATATTGGATATTATCGTACCGATAATTGTAGTATTACTGTTATGCCTTATGCAGCACACGGAGCGGAGACAGAGGAGCGGCAGTCAGGAAATCGGGAAACACGGGGTTTAATAAAAAAAAGTGTAGGCAAGAAAACACGCAGTGACATTACAATGACCGGACTGGGGAAACAAAGTGAAACGCGGACTAAATACAGAGGACTAATGACAACAACCAGAAACAGCTGATCACACTGGGATTCCACACGAGGTTAACGAGGGGGCGTGGCACACGGAAGGAGCGGACGATCGGGGCAGGACAATTACTATCTGAAACTGCATGATCATCAAATAAAAGCAAACTTGTGGGTTTTGGAAATTTTTCTTGTGGTACTGGAAAAGTCATGGAAATTTATTCTGCCAGAACTGGGGGAACCCTGATAACTATTTGTTGAAGTGTAATCCATAACCCAGTATCACAGCACTGTGCCACCATTACTAGTGTGGAACTGCCGCACGCATTCCGTCTTTGTGAACGTAACAGATCTGCAAATACAAAGTTTTGACCATTGTTGTGCTTGGTATATCCACAAAAGGGAATCCCTGTTCTATGTAACTGAGAAATCAACAAAAAAAGGACATTTTTTTCTCTTTTGCATTACAATGGATATGCTCATTTTAAATAAAATAGGCAGTTTAGCTTTCCATTTAATTTTTCTTACATATCAATGCCAAGGGAATGTAAAAATAAACGTATTCAAATGTTGATTGGTTCTTTTGTCACAGTTTTGCTATCCAAACTACATAACTCAAGATGGCAGAGTGTGGAGGTGCGGACAGGATACCAGTGATGACATGAAATTTTATAACTGAATCAGCTTATTCAATAAATGGGATTGTGTTTTTGCAGTTTAATTTTTAACATGAGTGGGTGGCCGGAAATTTGTGTCAAAGCTTTCTAATTTGTATGTAAAATACTTGTTTTCCCTTTTCTTTGAAGCAATTATTCAGAAGTGGTCGGGTTTACAGGCATTTGGAATGTTTTAATAAAAAGTGACACAGGAGGTGTGGAATTATGTCCCTTCTGAAAAAACGGGAACATATTTGAAATATTTTCTTTAGTTTTTCTCCTGTCACAGGCAGCCTATATTATGATGAGACTTGTCCAGCTGCAGAATTCATGTGACTTACCAAAACATTAAGCTGTCCCTATTAATGAGATGGTTGTCTAGGAGGGAAGTTTTTAAACTCATACCTTGTGAGATATTAAATACCTGAACCCATTGAATAATGTTGAGTCACATTAAGTGAAATGTTCTGTTTAAACTAAAGAACTAACATAAAGTATGTAGTGTTTTTCTCTCCCTGTCTGTCTACTTTTCAAACCTGGAGCAGATTTCAAGTACACAGTATTCTGCTTAACAAATGCACCTTACTGTCACACCCAGCTCTGTACGATCCTCGTGTGTGCCACGCCCCCTCGGCTCGGTCTGCTGCAGGAAGTTGTGTACTGGCGATCCCAGCCCGAGGTCCAGGAGGACCCCGTGGCCCTGGAGCTTGCCAACCGGGGCATGGACCTCCTTGCAGAGGAGCGCCCACCCGGGCAGGAGTATCCCCTCCAGAAGGCACGGAAATGCCTCCGACGCCTAAGGGCAGAAATATACTTGCTGTGAGCTACGTATGTGTATCCGTACACAGTTGCGTTGTTAACGTTTGTGCTGATATACTTGCGTCTGTACTGTGCGTCGTAATCTGTAGTGTGTACTCCTTACCACCAGGGGTCAGTGTCGAGGCGGCAAACCTAATAAATGAATGAACATCTGTATCTTCTGTTATTATGAACAAACATGTCTTCACTCGAAGAAATATTAATCTTCATTAGACTGAGACGGCACCAGAGAAGAAAACAGAAATCACGGAGATGGTACATTCGACCAATTAATAGATGTCGTCAGCAAAACGGGGAATTCTTTTCTCTGGTTTTGCCAATGAGAGACATTGACGAGGAAAAACACCGGGAATATTTCCGAATGTCTCCTAAAGTGTTTGACGAATTGCTCCGTCGAATTCGCCCTCATATTGAACACAATCAGACTCGCAGTGACCCAATAGGCAGCTCTCAGCGACTAGCTGTCACCCTTCGGTTTCTCGCAACTGGCATGAGCTATAGAGCCCTTGCGGCCAGTTACAAGCTTGGCTCAGCCACAGTTGGGCACATTGTCAGTGAAGTGTCCCAAGCAATATGGGTATCGTTAAAAAACGAGTTTGTTGCATACCCTGATCAAACGAAATGGCAAAGCATTAAGGGGGATTTTTTGTCTCTATGGAATTATCCCAATTGTTTAGGATCAATTGATGGGAAACCCGTCAGGGTACGAGCACCTCGAAACAGCGGCAGCCAGTTTCACAACTACAAGGGTTATTTTAGTTTTATTTTGATGGCAGTGTGTGACGCAAGGTACCGTTTCTCTGTTGTGGATATTGGAGCTTACGGCCGTGACAGTGACGCTGGGGTCTTTTCACGAAGTCAGTTTGGATCCAAGCTGATTCAGGGCAAGCTGCCACTGCTTCCACCATCAAAATTGCCAGGGAGTGAAGTGCTGTGCCCCCAGGTCTTTGTTGGCGATGAAGCTTTCCCACTGAAAGTGAACATTATGCGGCCTTATCCTGGTCAGTGTGCATCATTCTTTCACTATGCTATCAACATTTTATGTGATCTTATGTAATGTGACAATGACTGAATTATATTTGACAAATAAATAAAACATGAAAAACAAAAAGTTTTTAATGGACTGATTGAAAGTAGTTTTTTCAATAAATTAGTTTTGTCCACATTTTTTTCTTTGTTTTAGGGACTCTTACTCAGACCAGCAAGTGTACAATTATCGCCATTCAAGAACTAGGCATGTAGTTGAAAATGCCTTTGGCATTTTATCAGCAAAATGGAGGGTGTTTGGGAAGGCTATGGAGTGTTCCATTGACAGTGCTCAGGAGGTGGGCCCTTGGGCACTGAGGAGCCCCCTCCCCCCAGAAAGAGGGAGGTTGT